GGTCTATATTAATTATTTGGTTAAGAATTGACGCTAATTGCTTTTATCTCTACATTATTTGTCCTGTTTTGCAATTTATTTGCTTTTAGTCCTGATTTTTCCGTCACGTTTCTTTAGAGGGATTAAATTATTATTATTTTTAAATTGGGTACTGTTGATTACTAGTAAGGTGAGTGTTCAAATATATTTCAGTAGATTACTTTGCATGAGTCTGATTTTGAGTGGGTTATAATGTTCTGTTCTTGATGTTTCATTCGCACAGAATGATTTCACTTCCTCAATGGCATATCCTGTAAAATAGGAAAATTAGTATAAATCACATGATTATGAAGTTCTGATGCCCTTTTTAATGTTTGAAAAAATGTGGATAGATATTAAAGAACATATAAAAATTAGTTTCAATCTTATTAGTGAATATACGTGATGATTAAGTTATGAAACTTCTATGTTCTTTTTTTCCTCTCCTTTTCACCATTAAGTCAGCCGTTTTGAATTTTGTGTTTTTGAACGTGCGGCCTCTTGTCTTGTTTGAGTGATGATTGCATAAAATCTTTTACTAGTGACAGAGCATATATTTTATGCACGTGAACCCCATAAATTCATGTTTATGTTTGCTATCATTTGAAATTTACTTTAATTCATGCAATAAACTTGTATAAATATTTGGCTCTCTGCACTTGTTCCTGTAATACATCACAAGCATCTAGAATTTACAGCAAATCCTGCAATTCTTCAGCTTCCTCCAGCCCAAATATTACTTTTTATAGTGGAGAAAGTAGTGGTGAGAGCCTCCCTAAGCCAAGATCTGAAGATGGACAGCCTTATGCTAATGCTAAGCCCATTCCATTCAAAGAATTAAAGAATGCGACCAGAAACTTTCGACCTGACCGCATTTTAGGGGAAGGAGGATTTGGTCTAGTTTTTAAGGGATGGATCAACGAGCGCACTCTTACTGCTGCAAAGCCGGGATCTGGAATGACTGTTGCTATCAAGAAGTGGAATCCCAATAGTGTCAAGGAATGGTTGGTAGGTTCTTTTTTGCAGTCTTTGTGAGTCTTATGACATAGTTATGAAAAACTCAGTAACCACCCACAATTTGCAGACAGAAGTTAATTATCTGAGCCATTTTCGTCATCCGAACCTGATTAAACTTATTGCTTACTGCACCGAGGGTGACAACCTTCTTTTGGTATATGAGTTCATGCCAAAAGGAAGCCTGGACAATCACTTCTTCAGAAGTAGGTTTTACTTAAATAACTTATTATTTGATGCATGGTTGCTTTATATTTTTTCTATTTATGAAAAAACCTTAAATATATTACTCCCTTGTCATATTTGTTACTTAATAATCCGTGAAGCATTACCTTTGTGTACCAGATGTATGCCATTTCTTGTACTTGTTTCATATGTATAGGATATCCATGACTAAATCTTGGATATAATTTAAAATATTATATGTTTCATTAGTTCGAGTGAGGATCTCAATCATTTCAATATTTTTAGTAGTTTGCTCCTTTAGTAGACCAATATAGAAAGCCATTACTTGATATAGTTTTGGAATGCTTAGCTGATGAATTTCTGGTCATGGCTTCTAAAAAACACTTTGTGCATCACAACTTTTAATGTATGGGAATTATGGATCTATCTTTCCTAGTTTTCTAAAAAGTGCGTGTAGGTGCCGCCTAGAGACAAGGCGCCAGCGAAACATTACGCCTTGGCAGTAAGAGTGAAATTAAGCTATCAACTATCAAGTTAACATGTGCTACTAGGGGTGCCTAAGTGCTCTTTATTAATTTTTTTTAATTATTTTTTCCTTTTTTGGAAAGCCTTTTATTTGACTTTAGTTTATTTTTTCCCCTTTTTAAAAAGCCTTTTATTTAACTTAGTTTTTCGTTTTTAAATGACTTTATCTATACAAAAGTAAAAAATGACTTCATCCGATAAAGTGTTAGATAAATTTTAAGTAGCCGTGCTGTCTACGTTATGTAATTATGATTTTGAGACTTATGGACTTATCGTTTAGTTGAAAACTTCGAAAGTATTTGTGAAATTCCTATAAATCTATTAAGTAGGACTTGTCTAGTTGAAACTATGAAAATAGTTTCTCTTTTGCATTTCGAAAATTTGAAAATTTTATAATTAACTAATTGTAAGAATAATTTAGTAAATATAGTATTTTATAATTTTAGATTTTTGCTATGTATTATTTTAATAATTAAATAATTTTTAAAATGGTTAAAAATTTAAAGCAATATTAAAAATAAGAAAACATTTTTTACTCCTATGCCTCCCTTAAGCTTTTAAAACATGAAGTTTGGTCTCCACATTTGGCCGCACTTTACCTTTTTTTAGAACATTGGCTTCCCTTCTCTGCAAGTTTTTCAGGAACCTAAGTGGTTCTTCCGTTTCAAGTTGGTATGTGTAAAAATTTACTCCACACCAATAATGATGTATAATTGAATCCAAGGGTTTACATCATATAGGATCTTGTGATGATTTTCCAGAAATTTTGAAGCCACATTAGAACATATATCTAATGACAATGGGTGACATTTGGTAATGATTTTAGGGCATCAGTGTCTTTCTTGGTCTACTAGAATCAAGGTAGCTGTTGATACTGCTAGAGGCCTTTCTTTCTTGCACGATGCTAAAAACAAAGTGATACATCGAAATTTGAAGTCTTCTGACATTCTTTTGGATGAGGTTTGTTCCTTGGATAACTTTTTTTTGTCTTTTAGTCTTGGTTTCACCTAAGGTAGTTGTTTGCATAGAAAAAGTAATATCTTGTTACATTATGGGGCAGCATTTTAATGCCAAGTTGTCTGGCTTCGGTCTCGCTGAAGATGGGCCACATGATGATAAGACTCATGTTTCATCTAAAGTTATGGGTCTATATGGCTATGTTGCACCGGAATACCTTGCTACAGGTTTGGCACCACAAAATATTAATTCTCTACTCATTTTGCACTTCAAAATCATATTATCATTAAACTCCTTGTTGATGAACAGGCCATCTGACGGAAAAGTGTGATGTATATAGCTTTGGAGTTGTTTTGCTAGAATTACTATCTGGCCGTAGGGCTTCTGAAATATCTGCTGATGAAGAACAGTTGCTAGTGGATTGGACAAGATCATATTTGTCTAAGAAGAAAGAAGTGAATCGAGTGGTAGACCCCAAATTGAAAGGCCAGTACCCTTTGGAAGGAGTAGTTATAGTTTCAAATCTTGCTTTGCAATGCTTAAGTAGCAATCCCAAAAGCAGGCCGCGTATGGCAGAGGTTTTAGCCACATTGGAACGACTCTAAGGTTCATATGAAATCAAAAAATAAAGATTATTCTATATCTGCTTTGTCTGTCAGTAACAAAAAACCATCATCAAAATCTGAATATGACACTCTGCCCTACACTTGTTCGGCCAGTCTGTCCATCAGGCATACTAAACATTCCTTTTGAGTTATTTGACCGGCAAATATTGTTAACATATTGATCTAGAATCAATGAATCTTGATCTACATGTATTTAGAGTTATTGTGGATGAATTTAGTTCTGTTCATATATCCACCAATCTTGAACGGGCGTTTAAGTTCATATCAGGGACGGATCCAGGACCGAATCACAGACCGGGCTAATACGTAAAAAAAAAAAAAATTTACACATGAATTTTTTAAAAATTTTTTTTTTTTTAAAACTAAAAAAAAAATTTTTGGGGGGGAGGGGGGGTTACAGCCCCCCC